AAAATTAAAGGTGTGAAATGAAAAACCTTTAAGCTCATGCATAGGTTTACACACACACACATACACACACTCAGAGAGAAACCTCACTGGGACACACAATTCTTTCAATAAGCTATACAGTATGTGTACTTCTGCCACTGTAAAAATAGTACTAAACTGATATTTGGTGTTAGAAAATACTTCAGGGGAAGAATGTAATTTATGTCCTGGAAAAGCATCTGATTTTATTCCCAAATAGCTGATGTGGATGCATGATATAACCGGTGTAAACAAAAAGCGATCTCTGGCCCACTGCCCCAGAACACAATCATCTTGTCTTCAAGCTGATGGAAAAAATCTCGCAAAAACACTCCAGCGCAGCAAGTTAGCATGACTCAGCAAGCTGATGTGCAGTATGTTTGCATGTGAGGGGGTAGTAGGTGAGGGTCGGGGGTGGGGTGTTTACTGTAAAAATGCAATAGTGAGCAGCACAATGATGCTGAGCTATAGGCACTGTGAGGCTCGGCCTGTCCGGCCTGGTGTTGTGATGCTAAAAAGGCTAGCACACTCTGATGGAGCACCGGGGTATAAATAGCAGCACTGCATCAGATGACTTTCTATAGCTATCGGCTTTGCTATTCTGCTGTTATACTTTGGAGCCTGCGTAGATCAATTTAGTAGAAAGATATATTAGCCTGGTTTATAGATGAAAGGGCTTAATGTTAACATACATTAACACTTCACTATCACTTGCGGTGGTGGTGTAATTGTATCACACTGCCTCTTAGTCTAGCACACTTCAGAATCACGTGAAAAACCTTCCTTTCTCAATCCCCTGCAGTTTCAACATTCCTCTCAGCCTTTAAGTTCCATTTTTTTCTCTCTTCTCACACTAGTTGATAGCCCCCCATTCTCTCCCTTTGTCTGAAACCACCCTGCTACCAATTCTCTTTCCCCGTTTTTTTTCTGTCTCTCTGTGGCGGTTAGCGTACAAGTGTCACATCACATCAGCCATGTCGGGCCCCGCAGTGGGCCTGACTTCGACAGGCCATTCTGGTGGAACGGATTGTAGCTGTGTGTAAATTGCTCTACACACTTAAAAGAGACTCACACATATTGTGAATTTCCCTGATTGACGCCTTCTCCACAATGAGGTAACACACAGGCAGTCAGGAGAGTTCTGTCTTCTAATTACTGCATTCACAAGGATGTATGAAATTGTCAAACCAAACAGAAATATTGCATTTATCATATTGCTACTGTCTAGATTAAAAGTGATGGCATATAATGGCGCCCAGCCTTCAAAATCCATGAACTAAGACTTAATTGCACATGCATTGATGGGAAAGATGGGATTAGTGTAAAGCCTCTAGTGCAAACACAGCCGAGGCTGGGACTTGGTTCATAACGTTACATGCAGAAATGTCATATGACTATCACAGTGTCGGGACTAGATAGAAATATTGGCTAAACTCTTAGCATGTAGCCAACTTTCATGCGAACGCAATAAATAAAACAGAATGCCTTGAAATGAAACGATAGATTCTCTCCAGTAATGTGTTATTGAACAATTGTGTTCCTACTCTTGGAGCAGCTCTCGTGGAGTTTTGTCAATACAGAGAGGCTGCGGGGCAAATAGCATGTGACAGAGGCCACACATGATCAGAAATAAGGGCGGTGGTAAAGCAACACAAAACCTACACAAATATGCCAAGCTTAAATAAACACATGTCCAAGTCCTGCTCAAGTTGACTTTACAATATAGTGCCACAGTAAGCTACTCATAGGCAGAGCTATACTTTCCAGAGAACCATAAGGTCACTGTAAAAACTGTAAACCAATGGAACAGTGCATGTGGGGAAATTAGTTTGATTATTTAAGTGTTCAACTGTTAACAGAGAAGCCTGCGACAACGGCAAGGAGGAACTATATTTGATTGATTAGATGACAACTGTTGTGGCTGACTACTCCTTTTATGCCTGTTAGGTGAGGAACTGGTAGCCAGAATGATAATTACCTGTTTCAGCCTGAAGCAAGGAAACATGAAAAACTTTGCTGTTGATGCAAGAATCAGCATGGACCCCATAATCCTGGCTATGGTGTTAAATGCTGGGCTTTCACACGTCAGGGTGAAAGGTCACCACTTCTAGAGTTACTTTCCCATAAAGCTACAGAAACTGTAAACATCATATTTTAGATATTCTTGGCAACTTCCAGCCCACTAAACCATTGTTCAACTGCACAGGTACTTGAGTATGATTGCAAGGTGCTGCATTAACCTTTCATAACATTACTGAAAAAATTGTTCGTGACTACTTGATTTGCTTTGCAATCACTGTATTGTAGTTTTGTAGATTGCAGACTGTATGGAAGAATGAGAAATGCAAAGAATGTAAAAATAGTTTAGAGAAAGGTAGAACAAAAGATGGAGGCAGGGAAGGTATACTTAAAAGATAGAGACTGAGAAAAGAAGCAGAATAAGAAAAAACAGTGAAAACTACACAAAGAGTAATGAGAAAGCAAGGACAGGGACATATAAGTGGGGGGAAATAGAAATCTTTACTCTGGCTCACAATAATTGGAGGGAACACAGCCCTGTTGCATCATTGCTGCTGCTGGTGAAACTATAACCGATATATTAAAATATTGTTTCCTTTTGATCACTCACAATGGTTAAATACTGCTGATCTGCCCTGGTATTCCACCTTTAAAGAGGCGTATTATTTATGCTCTTAAATCCCTCTTTAATTCTACCTTAACATAAGCTGCAAGCCGCATTGTCCCCTATGCAGAGTAGATTTCAAATGAATCTTATCTTTCGCAATGGCTAACTGATGCATATACACGGTAAGATAAAACAAGACAGACATATAAACTACTTTTACGGCTTTTCGAAGGAAGATATACTGGTACAACTTACTAACTAACTGAATGATTTTTCTCTTATCTCTTATTCTTACTTTTGATTCGTATTGTCAGCCTCGGGCTAAGTTTATAGGCTGAACACTAATCTAAATGCAAAAATTAGACAAAAATGTTATAAGCTTGTATAGTAGAGTTGTAGAGACATATTGACTCTACAAAATTACCATGCAACTCCACCAACTCCTATTGGGTTCCAACCACCAGGTTGAGAACCACTGATTTACTGAACCATAAACTGCAGGCTAACGTGAAAACAATGGATGCAGATGTCAAGTTCATTTAAATTTGATACGACGCCGAACTGTACAGCTTGACTCCACCCTTTTGCCTCCATCTGTCCCACCCTCTTTTCCTTTGTCCCGCTTGCAGACTAAACGGTCATTCTATTTTGGGAGTGCGGCGAAGCTTTTCAAGGTATACAGTGGAGTAAATTATAATGACAAGGACACTGAGGGCTCTTTCCTTCATCATCTCGCCCTTGCTCCCTCCCTCTCATCTTCCCTTCCCTCCACTTTTGCAGACCTCCCTCTGCACTGGCCAATTACTGCGACCAAAGAGGCTTTTAGGGATCCATCGCTAAGACCAGAATATGCATCAACTGCACGGCCAATTATTAGGATGCTATCAAAAAGTCCCCTACCTCCCATTCTTTACAAACTAACACAACCTTCCCACAGAACTAATTATTTAAACCTTTGCTGTGCAGGGAGAAGGTCACATCAACAGAGAGGATTCATCTCCGAGAACATTACAGCCTCTACCCCCACAACCCCCCTCTGTCGTTATCAGATTATTGATTAGCAGTAACAAGGATTAAAATCTCAGAAAAAGACACATGCTGGCAGACCTAAATGAAAATTAAAGAGTTCACTTCAAGGGTAAGGAGGCTGGTAGTTAATGAGAATTTATCCTGACAATGGCATTTAGTTTAATAAATGTTAGGAGGTCACTGCACCACAATTACTCTTCTTTTAACTGAATGCTACCCTTAGCTAGAGACAAGAATTAAAGTAGAATAGCCTTTTGATTAGGTGTGTCTGATAGTAATGAGAACACCAGCAGTGGGAGGATACTAAAGATTAAGAGTGGGCAGCATGAGCAAAATGAATATTGCAAAAATACACGGCATTGTCATAATACAATACTGTTCAAAAGCACATGATAAAGATGTACGTTAATCTTATTATTTTGTCTTAAATTACAAAAAAATCATATTTTTTAAAGTATTAAATTACAATTCCTTTAGGGATTTTTTCAACAATGTTTATGTAATGTTTATTTTGTAATATTATATATAATGTAATATTTACTCAGCCGGAAAAACGTCTCCTTACAGGGCAACAAAAGCTGCTCCTAGTTATTAGACATGTAGCCAAGTCAGTCACTAAACCAGTTTGGCCAACAAGTAAATCGTCAAGTAACCATGGAATAGGTCTACACAAAGCTCAACAAGTACACTGCTGCATTACTACTGTGCCATTCCTCATCAGCACTTTTGTTCTGTCTAACAATGAAATGCAAGGATTGTCTGCAACAAACCAAAGCAACGACTAGCTCTCAAAGGCTTCAAGCTAAATGTCTCTGCGCCAAGTTTATCATCGGCCTCAAAAACAGTAATATCCGTGAAAATAAGTATTCACATGTCAACTGACTGTTTGTCAAACCCCTCCCAGGAACAGTGATTGCTCACAACCATAACTAGACCCAGCAGGTCTGTCAGGATGTGGATTTCTCAGCATGCCGTGGTATGCATGGGACTCCAGTAAGAGCAATATTCTGTTTGGAGTGTCATTTTAGAAACTGTCTGTGTCTGTTTGCTTTATGGCAAGATGCAAAAGTTGGCAAGATGCAAAAGTTAGCACACTCAGCTAACTTATTACTCCTACAGTTATAACCTGCTCTTTATTTGGGGAAGTTTACAGTATAGTTCTTTGTGAAATCTAAGGCCCATTGTTTCAAAATGTACTGCAAATTTCAAGCGGTAAACACTGCCAACATTGTCATCGTAAACAGCATATATGCTCTGCTACAATGGAAAGTTTGACAGGCATAGCAACAATAACAAAGAGGCTTTTATTTGAGAAATAAAGACTTACTGAGGACGTAGAGGGAAAGGGTGATCCCTGCTAGGCAGAAGCCCTCAAAGAAGCGCAGGGTGCTGAACATGGAGGCGTTGACAGAGAAGGCCACAGTCAGACCAAACACCAGCATGAACAGCACCGATATGATTAGCACTGGGTGGCGGCCAAACCTATGGACGTAAGGTAAAAAATTATATTTGACTTTGGACACCTTCAATGTGAAAAAAATAGGTTTGATATTATACACCTGTACATAAGACTTTATGTTGTGCAAGAACTGAAATCTTACCAGTCAGCAAGGATTCCAAACACCAGGTAACCAAAGATGGATCCCACCAACAGAGAAAACTTTGCGATGTGGACTTTCCATGCTGAGTCACACACCAGACTCCACTGTAGAGACAAATAAACCACACATTAGTTCCTAGAAATGTATGCGGAGTAAAAAAAAAAATGTGGAAGTGAAAAATAAATATTTGAGAATGACATATTTCTTACTATTGACTATTAGTCTCCTCTAGGTCTGTCTGATTTATGGGACATTATTACCACTCAAAACACACAACACTGAAATGTGAAGGGTACAGTCTGTTATAGAAGGGCTCCCTGGTATTTCATCGAATATGAACATTGACATGATATGCCACCAACAATTATCTTTCCTTTGTTAGTTATTATCCCAGACATTATTTTCGCAGAACATACTGTAAGCATTTTGAAAAAAGTATTTGCTTATTGTTTAACTATTAGTCTTTAGGCTCAGTGTTCCAGAAAAATAAATCTTTGAGAATTTATCTTATGGAGTAACTACTTTTTACTTGCTAATATGTTATAAGCTAATGTGGCACAAAAAATGAGTGGTCTTGAAAATAGTGATTCTGCAACCAGTAAATGTACGTTTTTGCAAAGCCATCTTAAAAACATCTTAATCAGAAATTCAGCTATCTAGCCAATACTTTCCTCAGTCAAAAATCACTGGTTATACATCATGTGACATTTCTTATTATATTATTTCCTTATGCCTCCTCTGCTGTGTGCCAAAATGGTATACAGCATCATGGTCAACTGCCCGTTTTTTGTTTTCATCTTTGACTGAAACTCTCCACCCCAGTAGCAGAGGGATTCCTAGATTGCAAACAAAGCAGTGTCTGCTTTTGCATGAATCAAGCACGCCCTAATTTTTTTTTTCTTCCCACAGCAGCAACAAGTTATGACAAATAGAGAGAGAGAGAGAGAAGGAGAGAGAGAGAGAGGAGAGTAGAGGTATGTAAGGTAGAGAGAGAGAGCGAGAGATGAGAGAGTGATAGGCGAGGAAGAGCGATGAGAGAGAGAGAGAGAGAGAGGTGCAGCAGGAAGTGTTCTGTGTAATATTTGCAGTTCTTATGCATGTAAACTGCTTTTAGGAGCCAATTCCCAAAAAGATATACCCAACCCTGCAACTTCGTCTACCATGGACAATATTACTTAATGCTCCTTGTAGAGTAGCTGAGGATGAAATTCGGCGCGGGAGGTGGATATTAGGGGTCTATTTGGCACCATATGCCTCCCAGCTGTCTGTGCTGACACAAGCAGCAGGAAGGAGCAGAGAGGGGCGTGGTAGCCATGCCAGGTGCATAGTGTTAGGGAGGCTGTTTAACACTGACTTCAATTGCGACTGAACTCATCTATAAACCAAGTATCATATAGTTTATCATTAAAAATCTATTTATTTCAGCTCAACCTTATTTTGAAATACAAAGTGTTGTTTGTTCTTACATTTTTCTAACCTCTCATAACCTCTGCCATAGTGACCTGTTCAGAATGGAACGCTCCAGGATTACCCAAAGCCACCCGGCCATCACATGATCCAGGCATGCCACTCATTCATGGTTTCAGTATCGATGTCAGCAGAGAAAAAGGCAGAGGGAGGCAAACAAGTTCCTGTTGTGCAATCACCACACAACCAAGGGGCTTTAAAAAGCTGAAGTTGCCCTATCCCGAGACTGTGAAAAACTGGAATAAACACTGAAATGATATTCTGAGTGTGATTATGCAGACACCGCACGGCCGGATGACTGCTTGGTGACTTTGCAGAACAGACATCTGCGGGTGACAACAGACAGATGACCAATGGTGTAAAATACCAACATTAGAGCATTCCCAAGTAACATGCCAGAGACAAAAGCAGCACAAGTGCTAAGTGCTGTTGAAATGCGTGGCCAAATGGGCAGGGCATGGATGATTTTGACAGCCAAAGTATCATTAATGTGTTTTATTTAAAAGCATCAATTCACATATATTATTAACCGGGTTTTCTCTCCCGGCCAAAACTCTGACCGAGCTCATACGCCATCATTAATGGGCATCCACACTGCTATTAGCTCAAGTGGAAAGAGATATGGACAGAGTTTCAGCTATCGCAGAGCAAAGAAATCTGAGCAAACTGCAATTCAGTCTAAGCATTAGTCAAATCCACGCCGCTTGTCTGCTGTGCGCTTATTATTACTGCTAGTTGCTCTCTTGCTATTGTCTTACTCATTTGGGAGTAATGAATAGAAGTCACTGTGTAGAGTTGGGTTTAGACACGTGTAAATCTATTAGCTGACAGAAAATGCAGAACAATGAGGGGCCAAAAGCAAATCAGCAAGGTTGTCTGCCGACCACTCTCAAAGACCGGCCACCAATGATCAGTGTACACGAGCGAGTCTTATTAGCTCCAATGAAGACGCTCCCTACTACAGCTGCACATTTCTGCACTCGTTGAACTACAGAGTGGTGGGTGGGGGGGTTCATAGGAGGGGTAGCACGCGTGGAGGGAGGGAGGTGGAGGAAAGCACAGGAGGAGAGAGGAATACAGATTATACAATGTAGAAACCGAACATTCATAGAGATGGAGAGAAATGCAAAGAATGGAGGAAAGTAGGGGAAAGGATAATAGGCTAAAGGAGAGAGGGAGAGAGATGCTTAAAAGCAGTTGTGAGGAGAAGGCAGAAAACACATGGAGAGACTGCTGCATAGTTACTGCCTAGCAACAGACCCTTGCTGTGGTTATCAGACTCTTTCTGCTTCCAAGTGCAAGTTTAAGCATCACTGCCTCAATAAAGGGTTGAAATCCTATAATATGGTTAGCTAGGTGAGAGTAAAAGTATTTAAAAAGGAGGGTGAGCAAAAAATAAATCTACACTATATATACACTCACTTTCTGTTGCAGCTTTGTGCTAAAAAGAAGTCAAGAGGGAAACCATACACATATATCTGGCGTTGCAGATATAGCCTATGGGACTTACAGCCTGAGAGCATGTTTATATTATCTAGTGACCATGTTTCAACTGTCATACAACTGACAAACATCCAGACTATACTGTATGTCAAATGTAAAATGCAAACATGTTTGACACATAGGTTGATGGCATTTACATTTTCAAGTAAATAACAGTGACAAAGTGGTGAAATGACAAACCTTTGTCCTTCAATCTATTATTCATTGCCTCTGTTGTTGACAGTACCATAACTACACATCTGTCACCTGACCTGACATATATTGACAACCAGGCAACACTCCTACTGCCTGTATTCCATCACACAATCCTAAGGCAAACTTAAACCCACGGCCGAGGGTCAGAGACCCCACAGTATTCTGCCCCTCCCCCTTACAAAACAGCACTTATCAGGAACAAGCCTGCAGCACACACACAGTTGAAGCCTCAACAGAGTTTTATCTTTCGGTCACAAGCGTCTTTCCTCCCAGCTGACGCTGTGAGTGGCTGTCATTGTGTGCTGACTAGGTATCTGCAGTGGGGTCATCGCCTTTCGACAGCTGAGACCGTTTCAAAGTGTCCCACACTGATCCGGGGTCTGTGGAAGGAGCCAACCAGCTGGATAAACAGTATGAAGGGACACAGATCAGAGAGGCCTGCATGGGTGTTCAACTACAGTATCATCTTTCGGATCTATGGGTGTGCAACCTCCAGCACAGCGATACTGGGTCTGGGTGTACCCACTAACGTGCTTTTACAACACATCTTCCTTATCTCTTACGTACAATACTCTAGCCTACATTCTAAGAAACAGAACACAAAAGTGGCACTGACATACACTGACATACAGTATAACTGTCGTATACTGAAGTAGAACTGAAGCAAGTGATTGATTAGTCTTGATTATAACGATTAACGATTATATCCATTATCGATCGCCTGATAAGCCCATTATTCCTCTCAATTATTAAATTAATCGTTAATCTACAAAAAGTAAGAAAATAGTTCCCGACACGCAGCAAAGGGCCGCAGGTCAGATTCGAACCCTGGGCTGCTGCAGCAACTCCATACATGGTCGCCAGCTCTACCAGGGGCACCCCAACATTATCATTTAAAACGGAATATCTTTGGGTATTAGACTGCTGGCCGGACAAAACAAGTAATCTGAAGACATTAATTACATATCTTACAGACTAAACTATATTTATTTTGTGTTCTATATTTGTGTTCTATCCAAACACCATTCTTTGGTGTTTGTAAGTTTTACAAAAGGGGAATCCTAAATTCAGTTTTAGATGTTAAAATCAGTCCGTACACGGCAAGTGTCTCTGGTTAATATGCAAGAACCAAACTTTCACAGGGGATTGGTGTAGAGGTTAATCTTTGCTTTGAAGAGGTTCTCAAGGCCACAATTTCGGTCGGCGTGTGCAGCTGTTACCCTGTCTGAATGGGAGCTGAGTAGGGTAGGTTGCAGAGAGACTCTATCCATCTCCGAGTAATGATACATTCTCATTTCTAAGGCTCAGTCCAATTAAGACGGACCCTGAGGAGAGCTTATACTCAATTAGAATGGGTCTCCACATTAACCACTTTGGATCCTTCACCACCACCTTAACCTCCAACCGCCTCTATCAAAACCTTCTTTCTGTGACACCCTGAGATAGAAAGAGGTGAGCAGAAAAATGTATTCCTTGGCCACTGATTCTGAAGGTGCATCTACATATAATTTACATGTTTAGCACGTGTGATATGAAGCGTTGGCAGAAGGTTGGGGTTTGAATGTGTTGTTGGTACATTTTGACAGAGACACTACCACATTTCCCTCAGTGTTGGCACTCTGCTCTGCCTTTTAGAGATCGAATGTCACAGATAGCTGAGTGCAGTCATGTGCAGTTATGCCTATGCAATCCAAACACAGGGAGAAATGCTAAGTCATCTCTTCCTGCTGTAGCTTCCCATCTTACTTTCTGTGCTGTGGCGGACAGAAGAGGCCTTGGCAGAGTGAGGGACAGGTTGTCAAAAGAGACAAGCTGGACACTCAGTCCTGCTTCATTTTTTGGCTCCATTTTGGGATTCGTCTGCATGCCGTCTGATTCAATTTCTCCTGACGGTGACCTTGTCAGAATGCAGACCGCATGGGTCAGGGAAGACGAGCACAGCCAGAGACACTTTAACCAACTGCTCGGGCCTGTCACCAATCTGAGGTGGTAGTAGTGTCAACATGACATTCTCTGTATGCGTGCAAAAGCAACACAAATATTAGCATCTACAGGTTACAATGCCAACATGACAGGAGAGCCAGCAGTGTTTCAGTCATCATAATAAAAACTTATGTTTGTTTTCTACCCATGAGAGAACAGACATTTTTTTAAATCTTAGTCATATGGATACACCCAATCGATTCCCCCTCGTGACTTCATATCCAGCTGTTGTTTTTTCAGTGCCTCCATCCAGAAAAACAGTTCATCAGCCTGGCTTTAGTTCATGCAACCCCCCCCCGCCCCAAATTACCCTGCGGACAGTAAATGAAGTCAAGAATGAAACTGTCCCCACTTGGCTCATGGCTGCATTAAAAAGCCACAGCTGCATTTTATTTGCTTTATTTAAATGGGGACACTGTCGGTGATAAGCAGATGGGCTGTTGGCATTACAGTGGACACAAGCTCAGGGTGCCACAACCCCGTCCTACAGCACAGAGAGGCTTCAAAGCCCGGCTTCAGATACAACTCTTCCTGATAAGCCTTTTGATCACGGCTTGCGTGCCAACTCTTCAGAGCTGAAGATGTTGTGGATAAAAATGCAATTTATTGGGCAGTTTATCGGCACGTCTATCCACATTTTTGACTTCTCCTAAGCCAAAACCGCACGCTGACCATTAATGCCTATTGATCTGTTCTGTTTATAAAGTCTTAATCGTGCTCTGTGATAAGTCCTTTCTCAGAAGATAAATCTCATTACCTCATCAACGTTAATGTCAAGTGTACTCAGAGAACCCGGTGGATCAAAGTTTCATGCTCCTCCCCCCCACAAAAATAAAACTTGATATCTTGATATAAGCATGCAGCATCCACAATGGGAGACTGATAGGCATAATGAGATATAATAACCCTTCTTCCTCCAGCTAGCCGACTGATGGCTGGTCTATACTGTCTCCTCAGCCCGGGCCTGCAAAGATAGGAATACCACAACATTATGGTGATGTAATAGGAGGTAAACCCACACTGAAACACTGAAAGGGCCCTAGAATTTAAGCCATAATATAGAATAATAATAATAGAATATCTCACTGGTGTTTGTTTAGAGCAGTGATAGGGTGAGTGCTGTTTGGCCAGGGCTGGGGGTTGCACTATTCTAGAAAGTGCACTAATGACCTTTGGTCAAAGGCTCCATGTCTATTATGTCCATTACGACAACCGGCAAAATTCCACCAGCCCTGGCAGTTTTGCCCAGTGTGCCAATGGTGGCACCCCTCTGTGACAGGTCACACTTGTGTCAGCTGTTGCTATGACTCACTGTCACCAGGATGCAGGCTCGATACCTACTACTTTAAAGTGAGCCAATGTGTGGCTCTCTAGAAAACAGAAGCAACTGACTCAACCAGTGTGCAGAAACCCATACCTGGTATGCAACAATGGAGGCATAACAACAACCACTATCCAGAAGCCTTGCGCACTATTTTATACGAACACGAGTGCGCTGCAGCTTTAAAGTGATATTCTCTGAAGGATGGGTGTAGTGTTGATATGTGCCAGAATCTCCCCCCTCTCACTAATCGATCCTAAGAGGATCAGAGCGGGTAGAGTATCGCATATATGCATGACACAATATGATGGAGAGGATGCCCATCCTCAAGATGGACAGCTTACCTTGGTAACAACATTCTGCACGAGTCCCGTGTGCAGCTCGAAGGTCCACTCATCGCACCTACACTGCATGTTGTGCGTGTCATTGTGGGTGCCGCCGTAACTCCCATTGGCATAGATATAAGCTGGCCGGGCGCTGGTGTTTTTGGGGCTGCCCAACAACGAGGAATGACCCGTAGTCTGATTAGTCAGGTTTGCCAAAGGCTGGACACATGTGCTGTTCGGCTGGGCGAGGAGGAAATTATCAGAGTACTGGCTGAATCCAATAAATATCGCCGGGATCCATGTCAGCACGATCAGCTGTTTCTGGTACTTCCCAAATCCCCCGAGGAATGGAAGCACGGCGCCGTCGATTCGTGTCAGCAGCCCCGCCGACGTGGTTTCGGGGGACACGAAGCCGTTCTCCGGTTGATGGTC